GAAAAGCAATTATAATAAACATATTCACAAAAAAATTATAAAGGCTTCTTGTCTTTGTTTTCTTCAAATTAGTGTCATTTTGAATGCGTAGTGTGATTCGAGAATTGTACAAAATCAGAGAAAATTAGTGAATTAGGCAAGATTGCCATATTTATTTCTAAAAAAAATGAATACCATACAAAAAAAAATAATTATACTAAATATTTTTTTTTGGACGTTTATTGTCAAATAAGCGCTGAAAGAAACATCCACAATTAGTTTTCATCAAAGTAAAAACAAGTTTTGTGAGCGTAAAAAAATAAACCGAAAAATAAATTACCCTAAAGTGGACGTTACTCGATCGCGTTACTCGCTCGAAATTGGACGAAAAAACAAAAATTTCAAAACGGTTCTTCTCAATGGAAATTTTTTTGCTAATGTTTTACCGACTTCGAATCGGGACTATAAGAGGTTGAATATGATGTATCAAACGGTCCACACCGATGATTTTTTGTGGTATCTGATTTTGCGTGGAAGATTAAATGTAAAAAAAACAAAAAAAAACACCCGAATACCAAGTTCCTCCCCAGTTTCAATGATTGGAACAAAAGTTTCTACCACAAGCAATATCAGAATATCAAGCTATAATTTCCATATGCAAAAAAAATAACTCCAAAGATTACCTCATTTCGAATTATATTGACTATTTGAGCGCGGAAAAATCCATTGCGCTCATATGATTTGACGCTAACGTCTGAGCATAATAAAAAAAGAAGGTTAAAAATGGGCCAAAACTGCTCCAGCAAACTAACTAATTTCAGATAGTAGAAATTATTAAAAACATGATTCCAGGTGAAATAAGTTTTAGATCAAGAAATCAGGACACTGATAACTTCAATGCGGTGTATAGAAGTTAGAAAATATGATTTTTATCACCAAAATTAGCCTGAATAATCACCCAGATCATAAACATTTGATCAATTGCTTCAAAAGGAGGAACAAGAGTTTGCATTTTTCTAGCATAAGTAGTTCATTTGAGTATGGCCTTGAAAATTTAAAAATCCTAGCCGAACTTGAACCGACCCTCAACAATCGCATAGCTTAAGTGCTAGACTGAGCAGTCATGCCAACAGCTCAGACCTGAGAGTTATAGACCAACTTCAGCAAAATTTGTATTAAAATTGAAACTGGCAGAATTCGCCCTATTGTAAAAAAAAGCACAAAGACCGGATGTTCTCATCATCAAAACGTATCTCTGGACTGACTGGCGGGCACGCATATTTCTCAGCCCGTTTGCATTAATTCTTTCAAAACAATCGCGTAGCCCACAATCACGCGCTCGTCTCCTGGCATACCTGGCTCGAAATCTGGCAAGAATTTTTTAGCTAGCAATCCACACATGGAGGTATCCAGGATTTACTCGGGTGGTATAAATTTTAGGTTTTAGATGTTTTGAAAAATTTTTCCACTTTTGTTAGAGGGACCAAATTGATTTTCTGTCCTCTCCCTGAACCCCACCCCTCCTCAAAGTTAGTATATAATGGATCCAGAGACTCGATCAGCAAAAAAAATTAAGGCTCGGTCAGCAAAAAATGGATGTCGTAACATAGGACCAAAGGGAGGCTTTGGGTGATCAAGAGGTTAAATCCCCTCACCTAATCCGCTACTGAACCAACATAGCTAGTAAAAACGTAGCGTACAGCCTGTATCAAAATTGGACTGAAAAGGATTTATGGTATTAAAAAAAAACGTTTTTTTTTTAAATTAAAGCATCAATACTGTCAATTTGAAATCAAAAATTCAGCAAACATAAATTTGATTAGTGAACAAAAGAACAAACAGTCGAAACAATCTATGCAAATTTTGAAACAAACTGTGCGACTGGATCCTCGTTTTCTTGTGAAACCAATAAGAAAATCATAAAAGAGTTCTGGCTACTTTAGTTCACAAAAAGATATAGGAGAACTTAAAACTGCTTGCTTACCGAGCACTCAAGGGTACAACTCCAACTCGCGTGCTAACAAAAATAGATACAATAATGAAAAATTACAATCGTGTGGGCTGTTTTTTCAATCAGCTTTTAATTAAAATCCCACCCTTCCGGTTTATAAAGGGCACAGATGTCTTAACATCTGACTTCTAAAGAGAAAAGAAATCGAAAGAAAACGATTTGAGTAAAAACAATTGAGATCTATGACAGGAGTGTTGTGTAATAAAAAGGTAATAATTTTTCAAAATGGTGCTGTAGGTGAAGTTGGATTAAACTTGATAGGCTTCTGTGATGGCGCTTTGGCTCTTATCTTCCCTTCATATTGGGTCCCTGGGAGACATTTTAGCCCGGATTCGAGAGGGTGCAATTAAGATTAGCCCACTGGAAAATGGGTAAAATTTCACTTATATCGGGCCCGTATAAAAACAAAGACCCGCAGTTTTAATGCGCGAAGAAGAAACTGATAGTAAAAAACACCGAAAGGGCAAATAAAATATGGTAGTTTTCAGTTATTGAGGCTACATCTTATGCTAAATTGATAAGACGAACTTGTTGTACGGGAAAGACAGAAATAAGCAATTAAAAGCTCTTTTAATCCTCTACCTGCCGAAAAAAGAGAAGTGCTTTTTTGTGGTGTTATTTAGCTTGATGATAATGAGTTTAGTCCACTTGCAATTAACAGACGAGTCAGTGGACCGAAAAGTGATTTGCAAGTTACAAAAACCGTGACTCAAAGTTGCGCTTTTCATTTTGGTAGTTAGCCTTTTTCAGACGAAATTCCCGTTATAGTATAAAAGTTATAATAAATAAGAAGGGCTTATCAACAAAAGGCTCTCAAAAATGACCAGACACCATCACCATGACGCCATCGCTACCATTATCTTGGGAAATAAATAATTCAATATTTAATTTTAAGCCAAATACTTAAATACGGAAGCGAATTTAGGGGGCTTTAAATTTGGTAAAATGCGAGAAGGGGTCTTCTTTATCTTCATTTGACAGAGCTCGAAAAACAATTAGGTCATCCTAGAAAAGGGTTGAAAAAAATTTCAAAAAGAACATCCGCTCCCCTCCCTTGATAAAATCCTAGGTCCACCCCTGCTTAAATATACATAAGTGAGCAAATTGTGCGGTTGCAACATAATTCGACTTGTTGAAAAACTAAAGATGCAAAGTCCTTAGTTTTGATTGTGTAATTTAATTATGTTAGACCAAATTCGAATTTTGACTTTAATACCATAAATGGGGCATAACCTCTACTTGCTTCTTTCTATGCAATGGATTTTTATCCAAAAACCAGTAACTTCCTAGACGATTTTAAAAATTTTCATTAAATCAAGATGCGACGCGACCGTTACGAAAAATTCGAGTTATCACACTGTCGATTTCGTGAACGACAGCCATGCATGGGTATAAAGCGCCATTGGGAAAAACAAGAGACAAAATGGGAAAAAAAATAAAGAAATGAGTAATGAAATTTACGCCAAAGTGCTTTTTAATGGCACGTGGAGATTAATGATAAGCACAACAAAAAGGTGCCAGTTAATCTCCCGTGAATTGCTTCTTTAATTTACTTCTTTTCTTATTTATAGCCACGCTAATCGGCTAAAATGACGTAAATTAAGATGAACAAAAAGAACCCATACACCCAGAATTAATTTTTGTAATAACTTTTTATTCCTTTTTTTCAGTAAGTTTTTCTTTGCATTCTATTCCTTTGTTTTCTGATATATTTTCGTTTGATTGTTTTCAGTTTATTGTTTTTAAAGACAAATTTGATAAGTCAATAACTTGAAAGATCTTGTGTTGGAAAAGTTGCAAAAAAAATTGTTTTGTTCCGAAAAACGTTGCAAAAAAAATTGTTTTGTTCCGAAAAAACGTTGCAAAAAAAATTGTTTTGTTCCGAAAAAACGTTGCAAAAAATTTGTTTTGTTCCAACACAAAATATTCATTACCGCCATGTGAACAATCTCTTCCCTAAAATTAAAATGAAAGTTCAATCAGTAAGGCCTGCATGCTCCATGCTCAAATCTGATTGGCTGAAAAATATAACTTTTAATCAACTGAGCTATCTCCTCCCTATTGTTCATTTGGCCTTTTATTACACTTTTTTTATCAGTGAATGGAAAAAAAGTTTAAGAATTTCATCATTTTGCGGCTACTGAAACTTGTCTGCCGTTTGCAAATTCGGCTCGTCGAAATAAAAACAAAACCTAAAATAGTATTTAAGCTTCCGAACCAAGAGCGTTTTTTCATCTCTGTCGGAAAACAAAGCAAACTAGAGTATAATTTGCTTAAATATCCGATGTTTATTGAGTATAAGTGCTCTCAGACGTTTTCTGAGGGGGCCTTTAATCAGTTAAGCCAACCGTTTGTTCCTTGTCATCTAATAAACAAAATTGAATAAAGGAACACATTGCGAATGTTGACGCACTTAAGTGCACAGGTGATTCAGTCTCGGGCGATCGCAACTAGAAAAATTTTTGGCCTTATTTGCGATGCCCATAATTAGTCGAGATCCTCTCATCACATCACGAATAAAAAACGACACAATTTGGAAAACAAAGAAACTCTTTTCTCTTGCTTTTTTTTCCAATTATTGTTTCGGTAATTGTGCTACTTGCGCAACAGGCTACCCTTGTATACTGTTTAAGAACATCCGATTTTGAGCAAAAACTTCAAAAACCTACCAAAACGTTCCCAAGGTTTTTAAAAATTGTTGGCAACGCGCGCTTGACTGAAAAGTGTCTGCAAAATTATGGAAAACTTTTGAAAATCCGCACCCAAAAAATTAGAAAAGAATTTCCATTACGATACCAAACTGTGTATTTATAATGCGCACAGGTTTGAGTGTGTATGTTTGTAGAATCTGGAGACACTCTTTCAACATATAAAAGTTTGTAAGTGGAATCCACTTGTCTGAACTCACGAACAAATATGTAACTAACTTTTGTCGTCATATAAAATGCGTTTTTTTTTCAAATGTTGTCATACAGAAACAGCAAATAGTTGGTTTTAAAATTCAACTGACCTCAGGTTCGTCACCGTGTTCGGTGCACCCCTCCCCTGAGCAAACGAAGCCGGCCTCGACCTGGTTGCCAGGACAAACTCCTCCCCCTCCCCCTCCCCCTCCCCGTCCTGATCCTCCGGAGGGTTTTTCCTTTTCCAGCGGAAGCGTGAACTGTCTGGGGTCCATCAAAGCCAACTGTTTTTGTCTTTTCAAACTGAGATAGTTGCACACGTAAGAATTGAAACCCGAGTTTAAGAATTCGTCATAAGAATCGAGCGATTCGTCACTATAGGTACACTCTTCTTCAAAAGTGCGCAATCTCGAAGAAAAATTCGCTCTGTAACTTTGAAGGTAATTGTAGTAAGTATTCTGCTGGGTTGCAAGTGTATCGTTGCTCGGATACTCTCGTAAATTTCTCTCGAAGTCGTGATGATTCGGAATATCCTGACCCGACTCGCAGAAAGTCGTAAAAGGGTCAGAGTAGCTACGAGCAACGCTGTGTCTCGCTCTGATTTGCAGTTGTCGGACGTTCTCGTGGTGTTCCGCGAGAGAATTCGGGTGTGCTTCTGAAGAATCCTCTTGAACGAGGAAACTCTGAAGACAATAGAAAAATTTCTTATTTTGAGATTTCTTGGACATTTTTAACAGAAAGTTATCCCAACAATAGACTCAAAACTACTATTCAAATCAGAAAAGAATTTAAGAAAGAAACTTCAATAACAAATGATGTTTCAATGTGAAATAGGCTCATTTCAGTTTTTGAAATATTTGACTTTATGGTAAATAAAATTTCTGCTAATAAAAATAATGTCGCACTAAAGAGAGTACAGGAAAGATCCAGAACCATAAAGCAGACATCCGACAATTGATATTTGAACAAAATAAGATCAAAATTATGCAATAAACTAGACTTTGCAGTGTTTGAAACCGAGCAGTAGTGTGATATTTAGGTTTAGGGATGGTCCGTACGATTACAACAGACGATTTAAAAGGTCAATCGTAAAATTGACTTCTCACTGGTGAATAAAATTTCCTTTCCAAAAGGGGTCAATTCAATTAAGATCATAAATAAAAAACCTCTTTTCGATATTGACAAATTTAATTTAACATAAAATGTAAGTCCTGTAAATTGGATATATCTTTTAGAGAGACGATAAAATATACAAAAAGTAAAATAGTCACATAACATAACAGGGAAAAAGTAAAATAAGTTCTCAAAGAGAAAAAATGAAATAAGTTCTCAAAGAGAAAAAGTAAAATAAGTTCTCAAAGTAATTTTTTAAGTGAATGGAAAAATGTTCTGAGCATCAACTTTTGTCCACCAGATGTCGGCATGGTTTGAGGCTATAAATTTGGCCCAAAAAATAAAAATTGACACTTTTAAATTCTATAAAATCTCGTTTTATGCTTTAAGTGATTGCCATCCAAACAGCCATACAATTTTCATTTCTTTAAGTTTTTGAATAGTCGTGACACGTTTAACAGTATGGCCAAATACACAAACAGGCAAAATTAAACAAGAAATATGTGTGATTAATTAGCGATCAAGGTAGAGATTAAAGAGAAAAAGAAATTGGAGAGAATTTGGCCCAAAACAAAATCGATAAAATCGACAAACAAAAAGAACTATGCTAAGCCTCTTCATATTGGATTCAACATGTCACTTCATAGGCGCAAAACTTCGAGATATAAGAAACCAAAGACATAATCATGAAGAAAGGATAGCGATTTATACTATTTATGGGTTTATAGTTTAAGAATTGTGGGCTAATTTAGTAAAGATAGGCTGGGTAAGACATGTGAGGTTTTGTATTAAATACAGAAAAATGAAACTCTGATAAAATTCATTCATATGCCCCATAAGATTAATATAGTATTGCACGGGTACTTGTAAATGGGGAGGGGGTTTTGTTAGAGATCGACCCGATTGGAGGTGGCGTTGTGTCGATAAGCGAAGTTTGCTTGAGTTCGGACTTTAAAGAGGTCTGATTATTAGGATGTTTACAGTAGTCAGACTACTGACAAATATTTGAGCGAGTAAATTTGCTGATTAAAAGTAGTCAAACACATTAGCTAATGATAAGTTAAATCAGAATAACAAGTTATTTGGATCACAATCAACCGGGAAAGCCATTATCGGTATCAATAAGACCGATACACAACTATTGAAGGTCTGCGTCATTTTTTAAAAAATTTTCGCTAATCGTTATCCCTTAAGGATAGATTTTTACTCATTAATAACTAATGCAAAAATAAGATTCAAGGTTCCGAGTGGGTTTTGAATTTTTCGATGTGTTGAATTTTAAAACTGGAGGTAATTTATTCAAGGCTCCGACCAACGTTCCCTTAAACTTCCCTGAAAATCTGATTATGATCACCGAATCGCTGACTCAATAAAAAGTCACTTCTGTGATATGAAAAAACAGAAAGTTAATTCTATTATTGAAAGTACAACACAATCAAACGAAACAAAAGCGAAGTTTAATTCAGCAGTCGCGAAGAAAACACAATAATTTAAGGTCGGAAGGGCAATTAAATAGGTTACATTTTAAACCTGCAACTAGTTTTGACGCAATTCAACCAACGTGGCCCAATTTTAAAGTCACGAAGAAGAAAAGAAAGTGAAAGTTTGGCTCTATTTTGTGGGGATTAGAAAATTTGGACACAAATGGTAGGCTTTGGGCTAATCTAGTCAGACAGTCTTGTGTAATTAACTTGGTTATAACTTGATAAACTTGGCTGAGGTACAGTTAATCTATGCATACTGGCCCCATTATCGCAGCTGCATTTGAACCTTTGAATTAACCCTCCCCTGAACATAAAAAGCAGCCAAAGCGCAGAGGGAAATAAGTTCTCTGGGAAAAAAGAGAAGCATTCAATTTTTGGATCAATCAAACATAAGGCTCTCTGATTAACCGAAACCGAAACATATGATGATTTCACAAATGCAGCCTCTTTTAAATTTCTAGCTGAACGACTTCACCCAACTAACAACTTAACCTCTATTTTTGTGATTGTGAGTTCCTTTTCCCCATTTTTCAATCACCTGTTTTCTCGCACGGTCTAACTATTAGATTCACATTTATTTCTAAAGAAACTGTTCAATTTTCCTTTTTACCGAATATCTTAATTTTCATTTATTGATCTGAGTTTCAGAGCATTTGTGAATTATTATTTGTGCACGCAGTCTTTTCTTCTCCAGGCATATTGAGTCATTTATAATGAAAACTTTTGACGAAATATGTTTATACCATCGAAAAACATTAACAAGGATAGCCAGTTGCTGTGCAAGTGGCACAGAATGTTCTGACCATTTTCAAAGAAAAAAAAACTCTTTTTTATTTTCGTCAAATTAGTGTCGTTTTTAGTGAATGGTATGACTCGAGAACTATACGATCGCGTATAGCATAAGAGAATTAGTCATGATCGACAAAATTTGTTTTCAATAATATGCTTTGAATGAATTTGAAAAAAAAATACCTCATATTGATAGTCGATATCGGTTCAATTGCTATGCTCACCAGATTTTAGACTGCTATATTATTGATAACAGAAACGAGAAGGACAGTGTGTTTAAAAACTAGGAACCAAGCAATTTACAGGAACTATTTAGACCAACTATTTGGAGAACAGTTCAATAAAAGCTTCGATACTCATCAACCAAGCATTATTTTGGACCTTGCTTTACATCCATTAAAAAATTCTTGACTATGGGTTTTAGTTTGCGTTTAGTAAACAGAAGGCCCTCGTGAACTTGTTCACTAGTTACTGCCGCGTGTGCTCAGCTGGGTATCCTCTGTCCAAATGTATCCTTTCCATCCTGTTCAACAGGAGTTATGGAGACTCTAGGCCCATGTCGCAGTTAGTACAAGCAGTAATCATAAGGTGAACAAGTTAAAGAAATTTGAATAAACCGGTTACAGGGGCCTACGACTAGCGAGTTTCAAAAACCAAAACAATTTCGCTATAGCATTTCTGGAAAAATTAAGATCTCGCGTTTGTTTTGCCAATTTATACCATCAATGTCATAGCAAAAAATCTACTTCTGCTACCAGTGATGGTACTAAGGACTTCGCTTTGAAACAGTACAAAAAAAAATGAGTTTAACGTTTAAAAATCAAATCATTTTAGCTTTTCATTAGCCATCTGCTTTTGTTTTTCTTCGAAGAGAAAAAGAATTTGTTTGTAGAACTCAGACATTAGGGTCAGCGTGGTAGGGCGAATACCTGTGGCTGATCCTAGGCAGAGTTGCTAGCTTCAGTTGAACTTTTTTGTTTGTAAATAATGTGATGCCAAAATTAGTATGCGGTTGATGATTTTGCTGGAATTCAGTTTATTTAGTTTTTAATAAAAAAATGACGTTGAAACAAAAAAAAATGAAGAAAAAACTATATATATTTTTCCAAATTGTTCCTCTTTTTTGTACAATAATTTTGAATTTTTCCAGAAAAAATCTTTAATGTTAAATACGCGACGAAAAAAACATCCACAACTAGTTCCCTTGATAGTAATATCAAGTTTTTTGATATTATTTTAAAAAATAGTTAATTTCCATAAAATGAACGTTACTCGATCACTGGGAGAATTTTAAAAAAAATTCAAAGTCGGTCGAATCTCGACTGAAAAGGCTTTAATAAGATATAACACTCATCTCTATCCGATACATATTTGTGGTAACTGAATTTGTGTGGAAAACGAAAAACTAAAACACATTCGAGTACAAAGTTCCTCCCCATTTTTAAGGGTCGGAACAATGACCAGAGGTCAAAATCAAAACATCATTTCATCTGCAGCCAATTATTTTGTGAATTAAGGTTTGAAAAAAGCCATTTAGGCAAAATTAATCGGCAAAATTCGGCCAAATTAATCGGCAAAGTTAATGGCAACAGTTTCGAACAATAATAATTTTTTCACTTTTGAGGGCTGTATCAATTTCTCTTAACCAAAAAAAAATATCAGATACGTTAAAAGGCGATCAAGACATCCAGATCTTTGTTCTCACAAGCGATTCTGTTTCTTTTTGTTTTCAATTGTATTTGCGCATTGTGGTTCGACTGCGATAATTCGTTTTCTGAATAAGGCAACGCAACAAAAGAACGCGAGTCAATAAT